TCTTGGTGCTAATGCATTATGCCATGTTGTATTGTCCGCAACACAGTTAATGAATAGAAATTCTCAGGAGCTTATGCTTATTGGTGTGATTTAATTGGAATAAAAATGTTTAATCGTTTTCCAATTAACCTTTTCAAGGTCTTTTCAAAACTGATTGAATGATATTTTCAAATACAGTTTTATTTAAGTATTTTGTTGTTAATATGATGTGTGTTTCTTGTTATAATAAACACGATGTAGTTTGCAAAGAATATTAGAAATATCAAAATTATTAATATGTGACATAATGTTTGAATTACATGTTATTCAATCAGATCGTAGGAAATTTTGGCAGTTCCGACAGACCATCCCTTTCCCAGATTAAAAATAAATATTTTCATATGCATCAATTACATTTCATTTTCAAGTGAAAAAAAACTGGATCAAACTATCATATTCTACGGGTGATCACTATAAAATGTAACCAACTCGAAGACGAGACAAATCATTGGAATAATTATATTTCTCTTTAAAGAACAGTATGTTTAAGTTAGTAAGTAGACAATAGCACACAACCGTATACATGTGAGACTGCAAAAGAAAATCTAAGCGCATCCTTAATAAGACGGATCCAATTCTTAGCAAGACTAATCGTCTTAAAATTCTATCTCTCCATATTCTTATTACACTAGTTCTCCTCACGACTTGATAAATTGGAATACATGGATGCAGACTATCATTTAAATCAGCTGCCAGCATGGGAAACCTCAAGGAAACTGTTATCCCGAATGATTTAACATTACTCTCCTGGACATGATAATTTGCAGATATTTTTATCATGGACAAAACATTCACAATTCATCAACATCACTGAATCAAGTACGGGCAAAGTTGGACGCTATTTCGAAATCATTCTTTAAAGGACAATGAAAACATCAGCTATCTTGATATCTGTTGAAATGTCCGCTCGTGCTTCAAGATTTTAATACAAATATTATCATTGCATCGGCAGACCATTATTCAAAATACGGTTTTATATAATTGTGTGAGTATGCTTAATTGCATACTTTGACATACAATAAAAGCAAGCTGAATGATGCCGTCTGACAAACTGAACCTTTAACTTGTTGAAAATATTGCAGATAATGTTAAATATACATGTAATACATGTAATAAATCGCGTTTGTTTTTTTTGAAGAAAAATAAATAAAGGAAGATCGCGTCACAGTTAAAGTTCATACTTTTCTTTTAAACTGCGTTTCTAAAATCAGAAAGAATTTTAATTCGCGTAAAATGTTTCCCTGATCCACTACATCATCGTACATGTTACAAGAGAAGTAAGCCAACAGTAGAGCCACTTGAACGTAATTAACACTGATAATTTATAGAGATATTCTATGTTACAGCTTGTCTCTATACTTTAATAAGTTAATCGATACTCTCCGGAGAGTAAATAGAACATGCAAGAATAATAAGAAGAGAATTTTCAAATCGTACTCGTCAAGCTTGGAATATGCAATCAGCATTTACTCATTAAAGACTACACTAAATGCAGCTGTATTTTTAAGCTTTGTGTCTAGTTGTTACCAAATGTCTACTTTACTTTGATGAATGCCTTATAACATTGCTTGTCTTATCTTTCAATTAGTTAATTGATCCTCCGTGTAAAATTATTACAATATGACTTGATTTATAACATATTGGACAATAGAGAACGAATAATAATATCGTATTGGCTTCGCGTTTTATATGTTATACTTGATGTCCTCAAAATGATTTAATGTAACATATCTTGAGAGCGTTTCTAAGTATAAAGGTAACGTTATAAAGTTCGTGATCGATGGAATAGTGTTTATCCGTCAATAAACGAAAGTAGTAAGTACATGGTAAAATTACCAATTCAAAATCAGTAATGCAATAATAATATCACGCTGTATGATGAAAGGTGATAAATAATGCTAATAAGTCCCAAGCCCATCTAGAAAATGTTGATGTTAGTACATGACACATAGGTATATAGTAAATCACGTATCAAGTCAACATTATATTGATCTTTGCTTTATTAGAATATTAATAAGAATATAAACCTTTGACATTGATACATCAGCAGACATATGTATGTCTTCATACTTTGCTGTTTTTGTTCAGTGAAAGTGTTGCATGATTGTGCTAGTTTTGTGGCTTGCATCATTAGAGATTATTATGCAAGGATTCATTTCCATTGGACCACATAGCGAGTTTGGATAAACCTTACACGACCAACGAGGGTGATAGAGATAGATTTGAAGACTCTTCTGTAAAATACCAGAGACACAGAGAAAGAAGATGAAGTAAGACAGATTCGAGGTATTTCTTCATCATCTGATAACTAACATGTATATGTAAGTACGAGTAATGATAATATATACATATTTATTCACTGTACATGACTTTGAGGGATGTTACACTTATTCATTATCCCTCATGTACAGACTCAATCAAACAGAGTCTTCAATGTTCACGTTATTTTGTTGTGATTGATGCTTCCGAGGGATCACTTTGTTTCCAGATATTTTTCCCTTTAAAAATGATTCGAGCTTCCGTAAATATAACATGTTGACTTTTTTGTCGTTAAGAAATGTAGATTGGTGAACATTGTTGTCAGAGTTACAACTATGCGCATTATGGTATACAGCATTATGCTTAATTGATTATTTTTTGCGCTACCAGTTTCATTCGGATATCAACAAAACTTAATATATTGTTGTACAATAATACCCCATTGAAAATAAAGGTGTACAGACAATTATCAAAACTCAATCGTTCAAATTTGATTTATTAAACTTAATGAAATATAAAGCTAAAAAATAATGTTTTTTTTTAATTGACATTGCTTATTCATCTGGATGCTTACTTTGTCTTTATTATGATTCATTTATTTATTTTATTGGATTTTATTCCTTTTTTATAAATATGTAAATATAATGGAGCTATTTTGAAATAATTTATTGTGTTTACCGATGCCGAACTTCCTAATTACTAACAAGGGAAATCATTTGCATAAGATTGCAAGATGTGATTTGAAATTTCAACATTAACTCATTTTTTGCATGACAATTAATGAAACAATTAAGTTTCTATTATAATGAACAATTGCTCTTAATTTCATTAAAAACCCATTTATAATAGATTAATTAAAAAAAAATAATATTCAGGTTACAAAGACATAGGAATTCTTAAAAATAAAGTTGAAAAACACTTTATTTGCAAGCTATCTTGACAGTGTATTTCGTATGTTTTGTGGATGTTCTGGAGACTCTTTATACGTAAGAATATTTGCTTACTGGCGCAGACTCGGTTAGACAAAGTTTACAACGGTTTCCAGTTTTCCGTAATGGACGACTCCCAAACAGTCGTTAGGTCATTAAATAATTTGTTTAATCAACTTCATCTCACACACAAAGAAAGAAACATACATACATATAATTTTGTTGATTTGTGTCTGAATGTTAAAACGACTTGTTTTTGTAGTTATTTTGTCAACTAAGAAAATCAAAGCACTGAAAGCACTGGAGGGTCGCTTGCGCTGACAAATTTATATGACATTATATTGCTGGTGATCACTTGAAAGGCCAAATCATGTCCTTTTGCAAATTTTTTGAAAATGTTCATGTCATATTCAAGTGGAAATGATTGAGTACAAAGGAAAGAGCAATATTTGCCATTTGATTTAAATCAGGATGATTTATCATTGATATCGAACAATTACAACACGGTTTATCAAAGTACTAAAAACCAGTATTTGTTCTCACTGCTTCAGTTGAGATCGAAAAATATTCTCAAAATAATACATTGAAAGTTGGATACATTTTAAGAATACACTACTGAGAGAAGCTGGAAGTAAATAACCAAATCCTCTTTTAAACAATGCATTGTTAATTTCATCTACTTACAGGGCATATGAAAAACATGCTCATTCTAGGGGATTATAGTTATTATCAATCTGATATTCAAGTTATCAAGTTCAAACAACTCGAAAAGAAAATGGTTGAAAAATCTTTCTGTTTATATGTATACTAGTAATAAGTGTTCCATCAGGGATAAACTTTCAGTGATTGTGAATACATGACTTATCAATGTCACAATTTCATCCAGAGAGATTCATGAAATTCTCACAAACAATAAGTCAAGTATGGTCAGTTAAAACTAGAACTACACTAAATGTGATTAATACCCCCACAAAACTGCTTTGGACATTAGGATGTAACAGAATACCTTGTAAAAGAATTGAAATATAGAGATATGTTCGTGGGCATTTAAAGATAGTAAGTTGTGGTTCTTGTATGTTGCATTTCCTTTCAATGTGGTTGACCATTGATGAAGTTTTATTGAATAACTCTATAAATACTGCAGATGGAGTAATGGTTATTGTACACTGCACTTTCTCTCATTCGCTTGACCATTGTATGAAGTTGTATTGAATTCCAACTACTAGTTTTCAAGTGATGCACTGGACAAAAGTACCAAACGGCACTTACTGTAGGGTCATTCCTGCAAATTTTTGGTTACTGTGCAGTCTTTGGTTTCTGAGGAGATTTGTTTAAAGAAATTTTTGACGACCCACGACAACTGATGGTGGAGGATCACAATAGTTCACCATGAGCATTGTGCTCAGGTGAGCTAAAAAGTAATGATCAAAATACAAGTTTGTGGATAACCTCGGCAATGCCAACATGACTGTTACGATACCTCTATTTTTTAAAAAGAAAAAGTCGAGCTAAAAAGGGGCATAACTGCATCAAAAATAATTTATTGTGACCAAAATTGAACTAAATCTGTCTTTTGATACTAACATGGCAAGTATCAACACACTTCATTTCCTTCATAAGTTGTCCTTCAGAAATCAATTGAACACCATAACTTATAACATGCTTTTCAGTAAAAAATGACATTACTTTTAGATTATTTCACAATAAAGTATAATTTCAAAAGTAGCCAGACTTTATTTGAATGAGGATGAAAAGCCTATAAACAAACAGAAATTTTGTGGGAAATACATTTATTTCTCAGAAAAATGTGATAAATAAAGAGTAGATAATTAATATTTGCAAATCAGGAAGGAAATTAAACAAATTCAGGAAATATGACAGAATCACTTTCAATTATGAACATTGAAAATTAATGAATCTACACAGAAAAAAAATCTGCTCTCTTTGGCTTGTATGATGGGCTATAAACCTCGGACATCATAAGGCGTCATATCTGAACTACTTTCAGTCACAGTAAAATAGCAGCCTCCATTTACCAACATTGTGGCAAAGTTATACATATATTATCCAAAATTAACAATATTGGGAATTATTTGAAAACAAAAATATTAACAGATACATGTATAAAATAAAACCAATGTATAATTATTCAATGTCCATTTATAGTTGAAACTGTGGAATTTAGCTATGTCAACGTCTGAAGGGATTCCAGTTACAAATATCTGAAAATAAAATATATTTGTCACGTTGCAAGTAATTGTTTATCTGGCACTGAATATATTCCACATCATAAAGACAATGTGCTCCATACTTAACAATTTACCAGTAAATCGAAGACATATTTCTTCTATAAAAATTTTTTATCATATCTTTGCATGAATTATCATAGTTAGCTTACACCACTATGTAAAATGCTAGTTTCTGGTCACAAGAAAATCAAAAGCAATGGATGGTGTGATATTCAAACTAAATTAACTTTACAAATGCTGCTGAAAAACAAACAAGAATATTGTCAATTAGTTTCAATTAAATGACAGGACAAATATTGGTTTCAATTAATGCTGCTTTACAAGAATAGAACATCACTTCTAACTGCAAGCAGAACCATAGTGTATTCTGATGTCAGGAAAATAATTATTATCGCCTATTTTTGTATCTCATGCTTTCTTTAGATGGATAAAAGTAAAAATTTAAAGTGGACTACTATACCTCAATTGGTATTCTGTATGCTGAAGTTTCCTTTTGAATACAGAAATAACTCCTTCACATAGTAAGCTTCACTTCAATTAAGTTGTTCCAGAAATAATACATTGTCTACTGGGTACTTCAGACAGCTTCATTTGAACAGAGTGGGCAACTTCTTACTGCAAAGTGGGAGCAAGGTTTAGTCTTACTGCAAAGTGGGAGCAAGGTTTAGTAAAACAATTAAACAGCATAAGTTGTTCAAATACAAGAAACTAGAAGCAGGGCATAATCTGTTATTGTTCTTCAGAAAAATAATTGAAAATTTAACTTTAGAATGGATCATTTCACTATGAGCATACATTTCAATTTTTAATTTTCTAGTATAACATGTTTACAATAATATATATTTTTTGTATGATTACTAGTCCTACAATGAATTAATGTAATTCTGGAAAGGAGACTTCTAATTTTAAATTCTTTGTCATGATTTTGAATTAGTAAAGGTCTGCAATGATATCAGTCAAACATTAGATAGTAAAACCCTATGTACAACAACATTGGTGCAAGTTGAAAATTTGGAAAAACCCTAAAACTGTAATTCATTCATTTATCATTTTTCCACATAATCTAAGAGTAAAACATGATGATATTTGTCACAAAATCCTGGACTTCAGGCATATGCACCATGCAACAAGTGATTACAGTAAACATGTTTAAAAAGTTTGATTACTGTAATTAATTACTAAGGGATCAGTTATTACCACAAGATGACATACCTTAGAACCTTATGATATTAGGAAAGACCTTTATTGACATGCAATCAACAACAGACCTTAATTAATTATTGAAAAAATGACTAACCTGCATGAATTTTTTTCTTCTCTGCAGCAGAAACCCCTTCCTTACAGATAATTGCAAAGAATCTATAACTAGGATCATCACCATCATCATCATGAAGACTTCTAGGCTGAAACTTCATCACTTTTTGCTATAACAAACTGCCAGTTTGAGCTGTCTTGTCCTGTATACATGTATATAACTTGTCTGAACCTACTGTACCTTAACTGTTATCAAACAGTAACATGACAGAAGTAATCTAAAAAAAAAGCAAAACAAAATTTAATGTCTTATATTAAAGATCATGCACAAGTAATCAGTATTAAACAAGCAAGTTATATCATTTAACCACAATTTTTTCTGCACATATGATATCTGTGTTAAATATATATTAAATAATAACTTTAAAGGTCCATTAAGCCTTAGAAAAGATAAAAAAAATTATTTTTGAAACTTTCCTTTTACATATCTTTTTGCACTTCTCAAATAGTTACATGTACTCATTGACCATGTACATGTAGAGAAATTATCTGGCACTTGGTATAATTACATTAATTTAGTATTTTGTATGGAAGTCAAAATAATACTGCTCACATTTTGCTACCTTTACAACACATTAATTACTGTTTGTTCAGTGTTACTCTTTTCAGTTGTTAAACATTTACAATGCTCTAAATAGTAAATACATCATTAAAACATTATTGAACACATGTTTGATCTTTCTAAAGAATTACAAAATTACAAAATCTCTGACACATTATATGTGCTTTTAAGATTTTCAATATTGTTTACCAGAGATTCTTTTACCTATACTCTTATTCTATAGATTAATTACTAAGGGAACAGAAAATAATGTAAAATGTACTAGTTACATATTTAGTTACACACACAACTTGACAGCAAATATACATTTTTCAATATAATAAAATACAAAAAAGAAAAACTGTTTCTCTCTGTAACCAAAGAGAAATCATAAATATTGTAAACTTCAGACTCATACTCTTATACCTTTAGCATTAATGGCCTCTGATGGCTGAATTCTAAGGTTGTTATAATTTATGTACTTTTACAGTCAAAATGAGGTAAATATTTTTCAAGGAATTCTTCTTATAAATATATATGCGAACACAAAACAAATAAATTTAATGATATGACAATAAGTTAAATTCAGTATTTGACCTTGATGGTCAGTCATCTCAAGGTCAATGTCTTATATGAATTACTTAAAGGGACTCCACTGAGGCTTTTGACATGACCGGATTGGAAATAATTTTCAAGAATAATTATATGATATTCTATTTGATGTAGATCTCAGCAAAAAACCTATTTGCAAAAATTTCAGATCATGCACTCGCTCTGTTTTCCCAGAATGATTACTTGAACAGTGTTGCCAAGCTTTTGATTCATACATGTATCAGGAAGAATAGAATAAGAATAGCACAAATATACAATTTTCAACAGTATGTGCATATCATTCTGGACACAAGGAAAAACAACAGCATTTATTGCAAAAAAAGCTGGTATACTGCTTTTGTACGGGAAATACTTCCATGAGGGTAATGTTGTTTTTAATTTTGACTACTAAATCAAATATGTGTTTCAAAATTTTCCAGAGCTCAATAAAATAAATGTGGGTTTTTATTATAAACAAACATTTAAAGAGAACTTACACTGAACAATACTATCATAGTATGTCTTGACCATGTCAAATTAAAAACCTCACACAACAGTTTGTTATATCACACACCTGAAATAAATGCATTTCTTATTTAACATTTATATGATTTTCATATCAACAATAAAGCATTCCCAACTTATAGTTATCTAAATTAATCATTTGGCTTAATAGTCAAATCAGCTACATCATGTACATGTATATATACCAACTCAAAACAGGCCAATGCATCAAACTATTGGAACAAATCAAAAGCAAGTAAAATGTTGACCATATTTACCATTCAGATAATATCATTCATGTTTATAAAATACAATGATTATTTGTGAAATTAATCAGTCAAATCCCATGTTATCAATTTAATTATATATTTTTTCTTATATCAACAATTTTTTTCATATTATTAGAAAATCCCCTAATCATCATGTAAATAAAGTTTTATATGATACATAGTCTAAAGTACTATCGTCCGTTTTTGTATGCACTAGCATAGAGCAGAATGGGGAACCACGCACTTGTTTGTGGAGAACACTTCTGGATCAGGAATTACCTTCTAAAAAAAATCTTGTTGTAGAATCTTTCTTTAAATACAGGCAAAATTTACTGAGTGACAATGCTTGAGCAAAATAAATAAAATCCAGCTGTTGCATATGTGTTTGTCCTTAGTGGTCTCTTTATTTGTTCATTTAAAGCTTAATACTAGGTAATTATGTACATAAAGAGAAACAGTAATTCTAAAAGGAAAGTCCAAATAGCAATATTGAAAATGCTGCAGACTCAGTTTGATTGAGCCAGTTCATGGATAGAACTGGAAAGTGCATGCTGCTGTTCACACCCAATAGCACCAGGTTAAGCAGTATTCAACATTTAAACATGTAATGGTAAAATTTTGAAATTAGAAACATTAGCAGGTGTATTTTTATGGCAGTGATCATGGAACCTCCAATGTGACATGTTAGTGCCATTCCATGAAAAGTGGCGTATGATTCCCAAAGAATACAATGTGCGTTCCCTTAATGAAAAAAAGAATGGGGGAACTGAACAAACAGGATACTGTTCATCAAGATTCTGTGTATTAATTTTTTTCTTTGTTTTTCAAAACTTTGGTTTAGATTGTTTCAATAATTAGACTATAAAAACTGAATTTGGCAAAGTATTTGAACTCAGTGTCAGTGTGAGAACCAAAGCCTTAAAGAATAATCAGACACCTCCTCTAGGACAGACTTACAACATGTAAGGCCTTACTGTTTGCATGTAAACAAAGTAGTTTTTTGACTTCCATACAAAATACTAAATCACTTTAACTATACTGATTGCTAAAAAGCAACAGCTGAGTCAAAAGTTGGTTCAGATAATTGCCCATTTAGTATATTTTTAGAAGTTATACCACTGGCCACCAAAAATAACAGGCTTTTGAAAAATAAATTAAAATCATTTCTGGGGCATATTATGGCCAATATTGGCCTTTAAGCCAGTATGTGCTAGGGGGCGAGGACAGTAACTTGCATTTTCCAGTACTGTTTATCCTCAAACAAACCGAGCCTGCAACATTTTCAATTGTGTCATTTTTGGGTGTTCTTAAGGGATTCTATTTTTCCTCTTTGATATGCATTGTAAACATAAACAATAATTTTTGGTACACCAATCTGCCATTATATAATGCCATGCTACAAATACCATGGTCAATAGTATTCATAGAATTATTAGTGTAACTAATTTAATTTGTCGGAGAGAAACTGAGATAATATTGGATGGGTGACAGTATGAAAAATAAAAGTTTGTAAAATAGGTCAAACCATTCAAACTCAATTTATTTTTCTAACCAACAGCAGGGGCCAGTGGTTTAGAATCAACAACCATAACCACTTCAACACAGATTTCCTGCCCCTACAGCTCCATAGTACTCCCCTGCACCCCTTAAATCCAGATTATATTACACCTTTCACTTTTTCTCTTTGCATTGTCTAAATTTCTTTTATTTTATCAGATTAATAGAACAATAGAAAATACAATGTATGACAATCTGCTTGTAGAAACGAATATCTATGATTGAGTAAATAAAAACAATATTACTGTATGATACTTATCTATAACATCAATCTATTATCTAGTTTATTTATTATTAATTATTAAATATTATAATATACAAATAAGATTAAGAATCCAGATTAATTTATAAATTTATTACTATACAGTTAGTTCTGTTAAACCTTTATCTGTTATCTATTAAATAGAAAGGAATACCAAACAAATGCAAAAAAAGCTAAAACATAAATATTTTTCAGTCCAAATGAATTTTAAAAATGTTAATTTTAGGTGGGGCGAATCGTCACTATAAAATTGAGACGAATCGTCACGGTGACGAATCGTTACCCTGTTACAAACAAATCTTCAAAAATTGATCACACGGGTGGCTCAGTTTCATAAAGTCTTTCCTCTTTAATCGAGGAAACTGACAAAATTACTAAAGAACTTACAATTTCTTCAAAATATCCTGGATGTCTGTATCAATTAACGTACTGACGAAAGTCGAATCAACATGGCTGACCTCAATGACCTGTCACGTGATTCAATCGCGCATTGATATTTTTTCTGTACACAGCACAAATTTACTGTAATTTTCGACATCATGATACATTTCAAAATGTATGATAACCCTCATGTAATGAATGAAGGTACGGATTTTCTAACTTGTTACCGACCATACGGAACTATTTACTACGTGCATGTATATTTCAGCCGAAATTCGGTTTGCAGTAAGCTTCAGATGTAGCTTATAACTTTGGGTCGCTCTGCGCAAGCGCAGCGACCCAAAAATGGTATCGCTAAGGGTTAATACTAAATTGAATCATAATATAAACCATTTGTCTGAAATTGAAGGTCGTTTAAGTAGTTGTTTTTTGTCAGACTGAACAGACTATTTATTCCAAACTGTATTAAATAATGTTGTTTTTGTCAAATTTATTTTATGAAAAAATAAATGTACTTTATACCAACCTTATCGACTTCAGGTTTACATAATAGCCGTCTATAATTATATGTTTCAAATAAACAACTTTGACTTTTGATGGCGAAAATAGTTTAACATTATGCAGATAGATATAGTTAGGATAGGTGGGGTTCAATTTATAGTAATTCTGGCGGTTTTTGTCTATGCAAAATAGATGTCATTATGACAAGAGAAATGTAGACGCTATTACACGAGGACATTGTGAATTGTCCGTTTATTTACGTTCGACAAAGTAAATTTTTAAACTGAGCATGTGCTTATTGGTGCTATTTAATGTACTAAAATGTCTTTAAGTTTATCAATACTCGAATCGAGAACAGCAACTAAAGGTTACGAGGTTTTGAAATAATCATTATGATCGAATCATTTTTTTCAAATAAATTATTTTGATAACTGTTATGTTCTTTCATGTAAAATTTTAAACAAAAATCTCAATAAACTACAGAAAGAGTTCGAAACAATTAAAGATAATATTTTTCGTGTATCTGCGTCATTAAGTATTTTAAAATCAGACAGAAATTGTAAATAGTGTAACTTGTTCTATTATTTCTAAATTCAACATCATAAGTAAACAAGATGCAAGAGCAATAAGCCAATTATAGAACCACTTGAACGTAGGTAATACTGGCAGAATATAAAGATATTTTATGATACAACCTGTCTCTATTCTTTAATTAGTTAATCGATTCTCTCAGCAGAGTAATTGGAACATGTTTGAATAATAAGAAGCCTTTTCTCAAATCATGCTCGTCAAGCTGGGAATATGTAATAAGCATTAAAGGAATAAGAATGGATGGATTGATGTCTGTCTAATATAAGTATTCATCATTTAAAAAGAGGAACCATGACAGTTTCCCTATTGACATCAACCCTATAAGAGAGAAATTCGTGTTTAAAGACACTATTTTTTACTTGAGAAATAAGTTCATGGGCGCCGCCATTTTGGCGTTCTGTCATTCTCGCGAGACAGACGAGACCGAGATTGTGACGTGTAATACCCACTTCCGGTATAGTTGTACACGCTGGTACAACTGAAATATATCTTGATGAAGAACTTATTAATTTAATTGCGTACATTATATATTATTTATGAAAACATCATATGGAACTGCTTTAATTAATTAATTGAAGACGCCGCGACATTAATTATCATTTGCCCGATACTCAAGCTTGCTGATGATCCCACCACATGATTTAAGCAATGACTGCTTAACTTTCAAAGATAAATTATCAATTTACTTTGGGTACTATGAGAAACTTCTTCAAATTGACGATATATCCATTTATTTTGTACTTAATTATCGCTAGACAAGCTGTCCAAATAGGGTACATCGCCGGTCATATATCTTTTTTCAAGTAAAATATCAACTAAATCCAATATGCTGAGGACGCGATTTTCCGCCATTGACGCTAAAAATGAGAAAGGCGCAGGAAAATCGGCAGCCAGACTTATATCGTATGAAAACAAAACTGTCCGTAAAGTTATTTAGGCACCCAGTCAAAACTGGTACCAACAGCAACAGGTTGCCCATTCCCCTATAATTACGCATATTCTCGGGTTTATCCAGTTCCCCAAAGCTTTTTTCCACGTTATCTACTTACCAAATTCCTTTCCCCGACAGATACGCATTTCTTCTACCGGAAATTTAATCCAATAAAACAAAAAATCATAAATCTACTTAATATTTAAAATGATTATTGGGAACTGAAAAAAATGTGTTGCTATTTTATGACGTGCTGTAATTTACTACAGTACAATTTGACAGGTGTGGAACCGAATTCCCCCTAAGGTCATTCAGTTCACTGATGAAGCGTAAAAAAATAGATGTCTATTTCGTCATTAGAATATTTGACAAGGGTGATTAACCAATTAGGGCAACATTGTGCATGATCAAAAGGTCTGTCGGCACAGAGGCATACAAGGAGCAATAAAAATCGTCAGTACACAGTGTGACAGGAGCATTTGGTGCAAATTAGGAACAATTAAAATGGACAATGCGCAGTATTAGACATAAGTAGTAAGAACCAGCAATTGTGTGAATAAATTATGCAAATTAGATTTTTGAGCAGCCAATAAAAATGATTTGCCTGCAGTTAATACTAGGCTACGATTACGATGCGCAGCATCATACGTTGACAGACATGTTAACAATTTACTTTTCAAAACAGTTGCTGATATTTTTGAAATGTGTACATCAATTATAACATATGTTCACACCTTTAAATTTGAAAGTCAGAATCAAAATGCAAAAAATTAATTATATGTACTATTAAGAACACGATTTAGTAGGGTTTTTATAATGGAAGTGGCTAGCGTACGGGCCCGTACGGCTAGCCAAAAGTTTTAGCCGTACGTGAGTCACGTACGACTAGCAAGGACACGCTGTATTGGCTAGCCGTACGGCACTTTTCAAAATTTTATGGAAGTCGAAAATGCATATGTTATTCTATGACTTTAAGCGAGGATTTTAACCAAGAAACAGCATTAATTGTCTTTGGATGTTAACTTTTTAGAGATTAATCGCCTTGATCGCTACAAAGGGGTACGGCTCATTGAATGTTCACAAAATAAGTATTTGATGGTAGAAAACATTTATCCTAAGTCATAAATGAATTCTAAGTCCATTCCCATTACACTATATACTAATATATAGACAAGGGTAACAACTCCCATAAGAAGGTGTCTATGCCATATCAGGGTTTTTGCCTCGCAGTTTTTAACACGATACAGCATAAATAAAAAGGAATTATGCTATTTGTAGTCGAATGATTTATCTATCGAACCAATGTAAAACTTTTCTTATATCTCTTATATTTAACGAGTACTGGCCGTCAAAGTAACAAAAAACTGTTCATTTTCGCGAGGTCGACATCGATCGTGGCTACGCAGGAAACACAAAGTTACACGACTGTTGCAATCGTTGAAGATACTATCACAAGCATTTATCATGCTGGGCAATTAAAAATACATAAAAGTAATCAAAATATACCAATAACCTATAATGACAATATGATTTAACCTCACCTGCGGCTTCAAAATATTTCCCCGTTAAAATTTCTGTAAAACGTCGCCATCTTGACGAATGTAAACAACCGTCATCTGATTGGTCGATTTATTTCCCGAAAATATACCCGTAAATTTCCGAAAAATACCGACCAATCAGATGATGGTTGTTTACATTCGTCAAGATGGCGGTGTTTTATAGAAATTTCAACGGGGAAATATTTTGAAGCCGCAGGTGAGTTTATATCACATTGTCATTATAGGTTATTGGTATATTTTGATTACTTTTATGTATTTTTAATTGCCCAGCATGATAAATGCTTGTGATATTATCTTCAACGATTGCGACAGTCGTGTTACTTTGTGTTTCCTGCGTAGCCACGATCGATGTCGACCTCGCGAAAATGAACAGTTTTTTGTTACTTTGACGGCCCGTACTCGTTAAATATAAGAGATATAAGAAAAGTTTTACATTGGTTCGATAGATAAATCATTCGACTACAAATAGTATAATTCCTTTTTATTTATGCTGTATCGTGTTAAAAACTGCGAGGCAAAAACCTTGATATGGCATAGACACCTTCTTATGGGAGTTGTTACCCTTGTCTATATATTAGTATATAGTGTAATGGGAATGGACTTAGAATTCATTTATGACTTAGGATAAATGTTTTCTACCATCAAATACTTATTTTGTGAACATTCAATGAGCCGTACCCCTTTGGATCGCTATATATATCGATCTTTGTCATCGCAAGATGTCGAGAAAAAATAGCATTTGCTTGCAATTACACCAATTGAAATAGTTTACAAATTTTTGATAATAATCCTTTTTTGTTTCATTATTTTTAATTTTCGACACCTTTTATATGGGGAAAAAAACAACAACAACAAACACTGAAAATGATTGTTGTTAGGCTCTTGATAATTGCGACAATTACCGACGGAATCAAGGAAAGTTAGCATGTTCCGTGAAAGGCATTCTAAAATTCTATTGTCAGTCCCTGGATAGGTTTTAATTAAGGCTAATTAATTGATTGACTGTGCTTTTATGTTCGATATTTATCTACTGTTTTGAAAATTATATAATTATTTTTGCATTTCACCGTTTTTTCCCATTCAATGTTCTTTTTATTTATTTATTTATTCCACTCCGATCATTTTTTATTCGATCCATGTGCTTAAAATTAACAAAAATGATTTAATAATTCATACAAATTAAACAACAAATGATAAGCATGAAAATCAACAATTTTATAACGTTCGACTTCCATATAATTTTGAAAATTGCCGTACGGCTAGACAATACAGTGCGTCCTGGCTAGTCGTTCGTGACTCACGTACGGCTAGAACTTTTGGCTAGCCGTACGTTTCTTTATTTTTATTATTATTATTTTTTTTGATATTGTTACGTATTTTGAACCATAAAAAATCTCCTCTACACCTCCTGTGAAAATTAAATTGTCTGACCAATACTTTATTATATTAATATTTCCTTACGATTCAACTAGATTTATCATGAATCTAAAAGATGTGGGGAAATGACATCACGCGCACCTGTTTTTATACGGCCAATACACAAACATGGCCGCGCTTACCGATTTGTAGAAATCGGTGATTTAGCGATTTAAATTTTGTTATCATT